GAGTCTTTTAAAACCTCTTAAAGTACTTTAGAAATTATGTAAAATATTGTATTTTGTATTCTATTTTGTAAAAATATTGTATTTGCCTTCATGATACGTTAGGTTGGGAATCAGAGTGACTTGGAAAAGCTAGTGGGGATGGCTTTTTGCATTAAGGACTTTAAAAGCCTTGTAAAAATAAGATATTCTGAATAATAACGATATAACTTGGACTTTTTTTTGGGCATAATTATCTACTGACTTTTTTTTTTGGAGACGGAGTCTCACTCTGTCGCCAGGGCTGGAATACAGTGGCGCAATCTTGGCTCACTGTAACCTCTGCCTCTCGGGTTCAAGTGATTCTCCTGCCTTAGCCTCCTGAGTAGGCTGGGATTACAGGCATAAGCCATCACACCTGGCTCCTACTGATTTTTTTTTTTTAAATCAAAACGAATCTTGAGGGCCATTGAGCAATGCCTACAAAAAAAAGAATAAAAGACTAGGTACAGCAAAATAAAATTGAGAAAGGCAATGTGGAAGCTGTTGCTTTTGCAAATTATTTAGGGCCAGTTGTCAATCAGATTGATCCCATCTGTTCAGAGGAGTTTTCTAATTTAGTTTCTAGCTTTTTTGATCTTAGCATAAGTAGATTTTGTGACTTATTGTTGGAGATCTCTCCATTTCCTCTGGTTCAGTTTCTTATTTCATATACTTCAACCTTTTTATTTTGTATTTTGCTACTGTTAAGTAGAACTAGGACTATTGAACCTGACTTTGTTGAATCCTCATTAAGTATTTCTTTATTATGACTCTTGGCATTGGCAATTTATACTATTCACCTGTGACCTTGAAGGTCTCAGAATGAACAAGTGAAAATCCATGTCCTGTGGTAATTGGTCACTTTTCTGAGGTAAGAATTTGAATTATACCCACACAGCAACCTTGCTGTGTGGGAAACTGTCACTTAATCAGTAAATGTTCATGAGCAGTGAATGGCCTTTGCATCCTTACTTGATTGCAGCTCCACAAGGAAAACAGAAATTCTGGTGTCAGGAACTGGACTTGCTGATGTAAAGGGTTTACTGTGTAGGAGCAAAGGGAGAAGCAAAAGCACTCCCTGTTAAAAGAAGGATCAATTTTTAGTGGCAAGGTTCCACTAATAAAAATAAAATATTGTAGGTTTTAAGTATAATTTTGCATTTGCCTTCATGATATGTTAGATTGGGAAGCAAAGTGACTTGGAAAAGCTAGTGGGGATGGCTTTTGGCATTAAGGATTTGAAGAGATTTTAAAAGACTGAGTGGGACACACTTTTACAGTACATGTTAGAATATCTTAAATTTTCATTGTTCTGGCTATTAGGACAGAAGAAAAAACTTTAACCATTTTTTAGTGAAGCCTCCTCCTGTATTATGAACCATCTCTTGATAAAACATTGTTTCCACATATATGTAGAATCATAGATTCTGTTAGCAAGAGAAGAGCTAGAAAAAGAGCATCTGTAGTGAGATTTGATGGTTATTACTCTGATTTTCTTCATTATCATGTTTCTGGGTTAGGATAAAGGAAAGTACAAGAAATTGTCTTCCTTCATTATTATCTTCTTCCTCCTTTCATGAAGTTGAGTTCTTTGTGATGGGGTTAAGAAGCACAGTGCACTGAAAGATTTTTTATTTTTCAGTACTCTGTAGTATAGTCTTGAAGTTAAGACCTTTTCAAGTTAAGACTCTCCTTCTCTCCCTGTAACTGTTTTGTCTTTAATTCAAGCAGACTTGGACGCCTTCAGCTTCAGCATGGACTGAAACCATGAAATCTGAGTTTCATTGTTAATCATGTATTTACCTTAGCTAATTGTGTTTTCAAAACTTTCATCCTTTCCTGTAGTTTTCTAGGGTATATGGCTGTGTAAGAATTCTTGTTTTCAGACTTGTTGCTTTTCCCATGCTACAGACTCCTTCCTTTCATCCTTCAAACATGTAAAGATCTCTTATGGTGGGTAACAGTATGTATTCTAGAGTCAGGCAGTCCTGGCTTAAGCCCTGACTTGGTCACTGGCTATCTCTGTGGACTTGAGCAAGTTTCTTAATTTCTCTGTTTTAGTTTCTTCATCTGTAAAATGAGAATAATAATAATTCCTACCTCATAGAGTTGCTGTGAGGATTAAATAATTTAATACTTTGAAGTACATAGAAGAGTGTCTGATACAGTAAGTAGTCAGTAAATGTTACTTACTATTATTATCATTATTCTCCTTATCTCCCATACTCAGTCACTGAGATTTGTCAATTTTTCTTTTTTAGACTCTATAACATTTGCTTCTCTTTTCCCACCAGCACTAATACAGTTCCAGACCATGACATTAGTACCTCATGCTTGGGCAAGTACTGCCACAATTTCCAAGAGAGGTTCTATTAACACTCTCCTGCCACTAATAGCTGTTTTGTGCCAGTGCTTTTCAGTACTGGACTAATAACAGTTTGATATTGACACACCCCTGCCCAAGAGCCCACAGCATTTTTTAGTGTTTTGTTTTATCAAGCCCACATTCCTTTACCTGACTCTGGCTTATCATTACTCTTTTCCTCTACTCAGGCCAGTCTTGTATTTTCTCATCTACATTATGTACTTGGACATTTGTTCATGTTCTTCCTTTAGTCTGTATGCCCTTCCTTAATGTCTTTACCCTTGTACTCTTACTATTTCTGTCCTAGCCATACTTCAAGAATCCAATGATTTTTCTTTTCTTGTCTTTTTTTTTTGAAATAAAGTCTTGCTAAGTCACCCAGGGTGGAGTGCAGTGATGGGAAGAACCCAGTGTTTGTAAGAAGGCTTTCTGGATGTAAAGAACTGAGCTTGGTCAGGAACAGGATTGGTAGAAATGGGAGAGACTCAGACTAGAAAGACAGGTTGATTTGGAGATCAGGGTATGGATTGGGAATTAGAGCCTTTAAATTTAAGAATGATAAAGAGGAACTGAAGTCTGAAAAGCTGATATAAAATGGAAGGAGCACTTTAAGATAAAAGGATAAGGCATTGAAGGGATGGCATATGAGTGATAACTGAGAGCAAAGTTTCAAGGCAGTGTTGAAAATCTGAAATGTCATTAAGGTTTCAGATAGACCTGGGCAGATCCAGATGGACCCGGTGGCTTTAAGGTCCACATAGACAGGCAAGATGGCCTACTTCTAGATTGGTAAGAGAATCAGTTAAGATCAAGAACTAGGTGTTAGGAATCTGAAGCAGTGGGCAGTCAGGTCTCAGGAACTGAGAGATTGGAGTCATAACAGAATAAAATAGATCTTCTGGTTAGGCTCTAGTATTAAGACTAGTGCAGGATGATATCAAAACTGAGTATGCTGAGCTAAAGAATTTCCTTCTGGCTAAGATAAAAACTGGGTTGTGAGAATATTGCTATGTTGAGGCAACCTGATAGGCTCCTTTACCAGAGGTATAGGGATAGAGTGACTACCATTAATTAAGACCCTCAATGATTTCAGTGAGCTTAGTGTATGTTCTGTATTGTTGAGCTCCTGGTTGAGCACCACTACTGTCTCGTATTGCTGTGGTAGAGTGCTGTGAGTCTCATTTTCTCCATTTATAGCTTGAGCTAGTTTAGATTAGGACCATTTTTAAAAAAGAGCCTTACTGTGAAATGATTGGCATACAAGTGTATACATTTAAGCCACACAATTCGATGTTTGACATATGTATGAGGGTAAAACTATCACAATCAAGAAAATAACATATTCATCACCTTTAAAAGTTTCCTTGTGTTCCCTTATAATTCTTCCTTTCTGTACCTCTTTTTCCCTCTCTTCCCCTTTCTATATATTTTTTTTAAGAGATGGGATCGCACTCTGTCATCCAGGCTGGAGTGTGGGTGTGATCATAGCTTACTGTAATGTAGAACTCCTTGGTTTAAGCAATCCTCCTGCCTCAGCCTCTTGAGTAGCTGGGACTATAGGCAGGTGCCACCATGCTTTGCTATTTAGAATTTTATTTAAATGGAATCAGACAGAATGAACTATTTTTGTTTGACTTTCTTCTATTCAGCATATTTATGTAATTATTTTAAGTGTCTGTAATTCATTTTTTTTTATTGCTGAAGAGTAGTCCATTGTATGGACATATATCTATTTTTTCATATATCTTTTGAGACCAGGAGACAGTCATTCTGTAGGTGACAAGAGAATTGACTGAATTTGGAGACGAGAGGATGAAAGGGAAGAATAGTATGGAGAGAAAATTAGAATAATTATCTTTGTCTTTATCTTTATTTTTATCTCTATAGACACAGAAGGTGTTTTAACAGTTGTAGGGTATTTGTTTTGGTCTGACTTTAACTTCCTGTTGGTTGTCATTTTTGTGTAATAGTCTGCTAATGCTACTGAAGAGGAGTATTAAAAACTTAATTGTAGGCCAGATGTGGTGGCTCATGCCTGTAATTCCAGTACTTTTGGAGGCTGAGGGAGGAGGATCACTTGATCCCGGAAGTTCAAGACCAGTCTCAGCAACATAGCTAGACCTCGGGTCTGTTAAAAATTACAAATTAGCCAGATATGGTGGCATGTGCCTATGGTGTCAGCTACTCAGGAGGCTGAAGCAGGAGGATTGCTTGAGTCTGGGAGGTTGAGGCTGCAGCGAGCCATGATTGTACCACCGCATTGCAGCCTGGATGACAAAATGAGACTCTGTCTAAAAACAAAACAAAAACCAAAAAACAAACAACCACAATAATTGTGTTACATAGCAACTTCAAGTAAACCTTAACGCCTCTAAATTTGTCTTTGAGACAAAAAAAATTACAAATTATTTTTAAAGTTTTGAATTGGAACACCGTGTAGATCTTGTGTTTCCTAATTTCTTCTAGAAGTGGCATCATTAACTACATTGCTGTTTAACATATGCTCTCAATTCTGTTGTGTTGACCATAGTTACTATATTTATTTCAAAGATTTTTCTTTCTAGAATATCTTGATTTTGAATCTGATGATTAAGTTTAAAAATATTTTGTTTTGTAGCCATGCAGGATATACGTACTGTGGGTCTTGTGCTGCCCATGCTTATAAACAAGTGGATCCGTCTATTACGTAAGTAATATGGTTTTGTTTTAACTCGGAGAAGCTTGAGAATTCATTGCTTTGTTATAGAAGTAATTTGCTTTTTATACTTACTATTGTTATGTATTCAATTTTAGGAGGGATTTGACTTTCGATGAATTTCACTATACTTTATATAGGTTACAGAAAACTTTAATACTCTTTTTTTTGTTGTTTGAATATTTGGTTTTTACCTTCCCTTTAAAACGTTTAGTTATGAAGGTTAAATATTTTGAAATATTTAATATTTCTTTGAAAACCCAGAGATGAGCATTCTTAAGAAAACTTCAAAGCCCCCTGATCTATTTTTAATCATTTTGTAATTTAAAATTCTTTATTGTACTTGTTAAAATTGTGGTTACTGAAAGGATAATTTCTCATTGACAGGATAAGGTATTTGAAAGATTTTAGAATCTGACAGTGCATTTAATATGGTGTTTGAGGCATGTTAACTCTTAATACTTCAATGATAGCTTTGAAATGAGCTTTAAAAAAGTACTTCCTGGGAACGTGAGACTCCTTTAGTAGTATACTATTCTGTAAGAAACTTGTGAACTTACAAGGGGTTTTGCTGGAAATAGTCACTGAGATTACTTAGTTTGTTGAGCAGCATTTTATTTACACAATTAATTTACTAGATATGAACCTATTTCAGCTTCTGCTTAGCCAGATGTACAAGCTATGTGAATAGGTAAAGTGATTGTGTTAGTTCTGTCAAATACTGATAGGTCTGAATTAGTAGAGATGTAGGATAGTTATTCAAAAGAAATAGCTCATAGCAGCCATGATTTAAAAAAGAAAATCATGGCCGGGTGAGGTGGCTCATGCCTATAATCCCAGCACTTTGGGAGGCCGAGGTGGGTGGATCGCTTGAGGTCAGGAGTTTGGACAAGCTTGGCCAGCATGGTGAAACCCCATCTCTACTAAAAATATAACAGTTAGCTGGGTATGGTGATAGGTGTCTGTAATCCTAGCTACACGGGAAGCTGAGGCAGGAGAGTTGCTTGAACCTGGGAGGCGGAAGTTGCAGTGAGCCGAGATTGTGCCACTTTACTTCAGCCTGGGCGAAAGAGCAAAATTAAAAAAAAAAAAAAAAAAAAAAAGAAAAAGAAAATCATGCACAGCCAGCCCACTTGCCTTTGAGCAATTTGTTCAAAGTTTTAAAACAAAAAAGCTGTTCTTTCAAATGTTTATGTAGCATTCTCTGTTATATTTTATTATAATTCATGGAAAAGTTATTTTTAGCAAGTTTTTACTAATGATAAAACAATAGTATTTCTAAATTGGTGAGGTTTTGGCTAGCCATGTCTTGTTTATGATGTTCTGAGGAGTGTTGTTAACAATTATCCCTCGATACGTGTTTAATATATAATCTTAAGAAATTTATTTCATCAATAAGAGCAAATAGAAGTTAAATTGAAACAATTTTTTAGTCCAGGCCTGGTGGCTCACATCTCTCATCCCAGCACTTTGGGAGGCTGAGGCAGGCACATCACCTCAGGAGTTCGAGACCAGCCTGGCCAACGTGGTTAAACACTGTCTCTACTAAAAATACAAAAATTAGCTAGGTGTGGTGGTGGGTGCCTGTAATCCCAGCCACTGGGGAGGCTGAGGCAGGAGAATAGTTTGAACTGGGTGGGTGGTGGAGGTTGCAGCAGGCTGAGATTGTGCCGTTGCACTCCAGCCTGGGTGACAAGAGCGAGACTCCATCTCAAAAAAAAAAAAAAAAAAAAAAAGATTTTTTGGCCAGGTGTTGTGGCTCATGCCTGTAATCCCAGCACTTTGGCAGGAAGCAGTTGGATCACTAGGTCAAGAGACTGAAACCGTCCTGGCTAACATGGTAAAACCTCGTCTCTACTAAAATACAAAAATTATCTAGGCGTGATGGTGTGTGCCTGTAATCCCAGCTACTCAGGAGGCTGAAGCAGGAGAATTGTTTGAACCTGGAAGGCAGTGGGTGCAGTGAGCTGAGATCTTCCCACTGCACTCTAGCATGGCGACAGACTGAGACTCTGTCTCAAAAAAGAAAAAAAAAGGTTTTTTATAAGCTTCTTTCATTTGACTTGGGCCTATAAACCAGTTGTAATAAAAGTTTGTATAACAGCCTTTTCTTTTCCAAACCTTCCTCTGTTTGGCAAAAGTTTTATTGATAAAACTCATGTGCTGGTGGGACACCCCAGAATTAAATTAGGCTTAGGAATTTGTAGAGGGGTATAGAGTTTATGTTCGTAGAAGTGGAAAGCTTATGTGTTAAATAGATTAATGGAAAGTGAGAATGGGAGGCAAAAGGAAAGGAAAAAATGGAAGTGAGCCAAGGACTAAGAAGAGGAAAATAAAGATGAGGAGAAAGAGGCAAATGATGGCTGATGTGATCAAATTATTTTATTTTAATTAATTAAGTTTTTTGAGAAAGAGTCTGACTCTGTCGTTCAAGCGGGAGTGCCATGGTGTGATCTTAGCTCACGGCAGCCTCTGCCCCAGGCTCGCTTGATTCTCCTGCCTCAGCCTCCACACCCAGCTAATCTTTTATATTTTTAGTGGAGGCTGGCTTTCGCCATGTTGGCCAGGCTGGTTTTGAACTCCTGACCGCAGGTGATCCGCCCAGCTTGGTCTCCCAGAGTGCTTGCATTATAGGTATGAGCCACTGTGCTCAGCCCAATGAAGTGATTTATTTGTTATTAGTATATAATAATTGAATTCTGCATGAATAAATTTCAAGGTCTAAGTGTAAAATTAATAATTGCCAGTCACAGTTGAATTGTCTTGAAAGAGGTACTTTCTGGGAATTACAGTGTCTTTAGAGTGCTTTGAGAAGGCAGAGAAAGAATATCCTTTTGGCATCTATGAAAAATACAGAGAAAAAAATGAGAGTCCAAGAGATGAAGGTTAAATTCTGTACTACCACTTTCTATTCTTACCTTCCACATTAATCCACTTTCATTCTGTATTTCAGCCAGGATCATGTTTTGAAAATGTAAATGATATCATGTTACTTTCCAGAATTTAAAAGTGAGTGGGGGTACAAATAAGATTTTAAAAGGCATTACAAATAACAGGTAAAAATTATTCCAAGATTGATATCAGAAAACTGACTAGCAGCTTGGAAAAAGAAACTGGTTTAGAATCCTTGCTAACACTGTCCATCAAAGTAAGTACTAGTTAGGTAAGGGTATTAGAATGTCTGGAGGAGTGTTTCAAGCCGCAGCTAATTTGGAACACAGTATGTCTTAATATTTACGAGGCATTGTTGGGAAGAGTACAAAATGTGGTAAATTATAATTAGATTAAATTACACGGGGTGGGCGGGGAAACTAATGTCATAATGTAACCAAAGAATGGGAAAAGTATTTGCAAAAAAATGACCAAGTATTAATATAAAAAATAAAAATCTTGGTATTTAGGGCTAGTCAAAGAATATTAATTGAAATTACAAAAAATGTAATTAATAAAATAAAAATGGAAACTTTTTTTCTTTTCTTCATATATGTATATTAGTGTACTTTAGGTTTTGGGGTACATGTGCAGAACATACAGGATTGTTGCATAGGTACCTACATGGCAATGTGGTTTGCTGCCTCCATCTCCATCACCTATATCTGGCATTCCTCCCCACGTTATCCCTCCCCAACTCCCTACCCACTGCTGTTCCTCCTCTAGTCCCCACCAACAGACCCCAGTGTGTGATGCTACCCTCCCTGCATCCATGTGTCTCATTGTTCGACACCCTCCTGTGAGTGAGAACATGCGGTGTTTGATTTTCTGTTTTTGTGTCAGTTTGTTGAGAGTGATGGTTTCCAGATTCATCCATGTCCCTACAAAGGACACGAACTCATCATTTTTTATGGCAGCATAGTATTCCATGGTGTATATGTGCCACGTTTTCCTTGTCCAGTCTATCATCGATGGGCATTTTGGTTGGTTCTAGGTCTTTGCTATTGTAAACAGTGCCACAGTGAACATATGTGTGCATGTGTCTTTGTAATAGAACAATTTATAATCCTTTGGATATATACCCAGTAATGGGATTGCTGGGTCAAATGGAATTTCTATTTCTAGGTCCTTGAGGAATTGCCACACTGTCTTCCACAATGGTTGAATTAATTTACACTCGCACCAACAGTGTAAAAGTGTTCCTATTTCTCCACATCCTCTCCAGTATCTGTTGTCTCCAGATTTTTTAATGATCGCCATTTTAACTGGCAGGAGATGGTATCTCAATGTGGTTTTGACAGTAGCAAGGTACCAATTTAAATGAACAGTTTGAAGAACAATACAGTTTTGTAATTCTTGTAATCCAGAACTGGCTAGATTATGGCAAAATTAGTTTGTTTGTCTTTTCTTTTTTAATAAAAAATGTATTTCAATGGACTATATATCAGGTTAAAGCAATTTGATAATATATACTAAGAATCATAAAAATGCATATAGTTACTGGCTTAGATATTGAGGTTCAAAAGCTCTGTAAGTCCCCAAACGGAAAAAGTGAAATGTGTTAAGATTTCTACAGCAGCATTATTTTTTTACAGAATCTGAGTTTCTAATAGTGTGTTGACTAAATAAATTTGATTGTTTACTCAATGGAATCTTATATAGGTGTTGAAAATGATGGTTAAGAAGGCTTTGTAGTAACTTGGAAAATATTTATAATATGGCAAGTAGAAAAATCAGGGTATAAAATAGTGTAAAATTGGGAAAAAAGAATGAACTTTATGAGGTTAAATAAGTTATAATGGTTGATAATAGCTTGCATACATTTTCTTGTATGATAAATGGACGTATTTTTATGGTGAAAAATACAGAATTTGGAAGCATTTGTATAAAAATGATTACAAGTTGAGGGGACTAATGATTCTTCAACTGACAGAATGGTTCTTTGATTCGTAATATGACTGGTCAGGGCCTAATAAGATTTTTTTTCCTTTTTTGTTTTTCTGAGATGGAGTTTCTCTCTGACACCCAGGCTGGAGTGCAGTGGTACAATCTCGGCTCAC